GATAGATAGATAGATAGATAGATAGATAGATGATAGATTGATAGATAATAGATAGATAAATAGATAGCTAGATAGATATCGGATGGATGGATGGATGGATGGATGGATGGATGGATGGATGGATGGATGGATAATGTGGGAACTGGATATGTCTAATCTAATGAAGAGAAGAATTGGGGGTATTCCTGGAAGGGACCTTGGAGGTCCTCTAATCCAACCCTCTGCTCAAGGAGGAGAACCTAGATCATCTCAGATAAATGATTGTCCATTAAAAGCTGTGGCCTCTTCCTCCCCCCCTCCCCCATACAGCTGGCGCTGCACCAGGAAGCAGATGACGAGGCCTTCCTGCAGCAATACCGCAAGCAGCGCATGGAGGAGATGCGCCGGCAGCTGCACCCAGGCCAGCAGTTCAAGCAGGTCTTTGAGATCCAGAGTGCCGAGGCCTTTCTGGAGACGGTGGACCAAGGCGACAAGAAGACGCTGGTCATGGTCCACATCTACGAGGACCACATCCCCGGCGCAGAAGCCCTGGACGGCTGCATGCTCTGCCTGGCCGCCGAGTACCCCACGGTGAAGTTCTGCCGGGTGCGCAGCTCCCTGATCGGCGCCAGCTCCCGCTTCACCAGCAACGCCCTGCCGGCCCTACTGGTCTACAAGGGCGGGGAGCTGATCGGCAACTTCATCCGCCTGACCGACCAGCTGGGCCAAGACTTCTTCGCCACGGACTTGGAGGCCTTCCTGCAGGAGTTCAGCCTGCTTCCGGAGAAAGACGTGGTGCTCTACACCTCCATTTGCAACGCCGCCTCTTGCTACGACGACGAGGACAGCGATTTGGAGATCGACTGAGAGCCAGAGCCACGGGAGTCCCCGGTCTCTCTCTCTCCCCCCCTTCCCTCCCCTAAGAGTTGGCTCGGGAAGGGTAGCTGTTTACCCTAAAGCCCCCTCACCAAACCCCTCCAGCAGATTTGCCACTTGTAGCGGCTTCTTTGGCGGTGCCCGTCCCGAGCCGAGCCCTCCTCCTGGGTACTGCGTAGATTCAGAAATAGGCCTTTTAGTTTGGAGTCCTGTCACCGCAGCCACCCTGAGGGGAGGGGTCAGCCCCACTGTTTCCTGCGAGAAAGCGAGCCACTCGTCCTTCGCTTCAACCTGACCAACGTCGAGAGGACACCGATGGTCTCTAGAGTTGGGGGGGGCGCTCCTAGCTCGGGTATCTTTTTTTCCGTCCCGTGAAAAATTTTGGGAACCGGCAATCTCTCTCTCTCTCTCTCTCTCTCTCAATATCTCTCTCGATCTCTCTCGATGTGGCCCTCCCCCTGGGTTGTCTGTCTGTCTGTCTCTCTCTTTCTCTCTCTCTCCCTTCCTCCCTCGCTCCCTTCCCTATGTGTCTTGTGCAGATTGACTGTTGAAGGCTCCTTCATGCCTAGCGAAACTTAAACCGTGTTTTCTTAATGCAATAAAAAAGATTTAAAATCGGAGTGCAGTTAGCTTGATCAAACCCAGGTGAGAAATGGCCATCCTGGGCTCTGTGTGTGTGTGTGTGTGTGTGTGTGTGTGTGATCAAGGCTTTGGGGCCATGAGGAGAGAAAGTTGTGGGAGAGAAGTGACACCCAAAAGTTTTATCTCTTGTGCCAGTTGAGAGCTGGATTTGAGATGACGCAGCACCACGTTCCCAACACAATTAGAAGGATGTTTGGAAGTGGCTTCCTGGTTTATGTCTGCATTATAACAGGAAAACTCTCCTGGGCATTAAAAGGAAGGTCCTATAGTTAGGCAAAATCCTCCGCTACAGTATAGGTGGTGCCTTGTTCAGTAGTAGCAACTGTGAGAGGGATCTTGGAGTCCTAGTGGACAACCGTTTAAATAGGAGCCAGCCGTGTACAGC